CGCGGAAGCTGTGGACAGAAAAAGACTGTGTCTCATATTCTTCAAGCGTGTTGCATCATACATGATGTCCGCTGTAAACATCACAACAAAATTGCGCAACACATGACAAGGCAATTGCAGCGCCGAAGCACTAACATAGTTATGAAGCCGAGGATTCCGACCACCACCTCTTTCATCAAACCAGACTTGACTGTGGTTAAAAATTCCGCGATCCCCTGTGGATGTACCCATTTGTGCCGTGTACCAAATGGAATGTACTTACAAAATGAAAATGGATAAATATGGATCAGGTGGGGAAAGCAACAGCCATATCGCGATACATATGAGAGCAATTTCCTGAGATGATGAATATTATTCACCACCCCGTCATTATCAATAATCGAGGGATGATATACTCCACTTCAGCCAAACATCTTACTGCACTCGGATTGACATCACATGATATCTCTGACCTCTGTGTTTCGACGCTTCGTCTTACTCTAAAGGTGTATGACTCCCAGATGCGAGGCGCTTCATCACGCCTTACATAACATGCACCCAATTACACATGGTGACAATTGTCGGGGTTCCGAACATGGTTTGAAGTTTTTATTTCAATCAGTGTTTTCTATTATGTCGGGACATTTGTCCCTCCTTGGCATAGTGCTGCACAGTTCATCCTTTGAGTCATGCATGCGAATGTCAAAAACATATGCTGATGGCATCAATCTGCTGAGCTGTGTTTGACAGGTGATCGCACGAATCCTGCTCTTGCTTCGACAGTGAACAAGTTCGGACTCACCATCAACACAAGCAGGACTGTAGCTCGTCAGTTCCCTCTGGATGGGCTCGATAAGTTTCGCTAGCCATCGCGCTAATTTTTGGTATGGTGTGTGTACCGTTGAAACGATTGGACGTCCAATCGTCTCAATGGTAGACACACCATAGCAACAAGCAAAACTGTCTTTTTTCCAGCTTTCATCAGAAATGGAATCGGCAAGTCAGCCGCAAATCCAAATTGCTGATGACGCATTGGAGACAGCATCGAAATTCCGCTATCTTGAGGGCGTACTTCCTACCGACCTACAGATGATGAGTGAGATGCGTTTTCGCGTACGGAAGACGGTTGCTGTATTGGGAAAGCTGGAAAAACGTGTATGGAACAGCAGCAACTTACCGTTGGAACAAAGCTGATGGTAAACAATTCGATGGTGCTGTCCGTTTTTCTTTACGGCAGTGAAACGCAGACACTGAACAGGAAGGACTCTGATATCTGAAGAGCTTAAATCAGAACTGCGATGAACCAAATAAAACGATCTAAATCAGATTCTGCGCATTGGCTGGGGTGAGTGAGTTGCTGTCACGGATGTGCTCCGCTGCAGTGGTATGTATGCAGTGGACTGCATACTTCTGCTGAGGCACCTGAGGTGGATCAGGCCTATAAGCCGCATGGATTTGACGCGGATACCAAAGCAGCTCTTATATGGACAACTTAGTGCAGGGAAGCGGTACGTGGGAAAAGCGAAGTTACGTTACCAGGACATAATCAAGGTGAGTTTATCAGGAACTAATGTACATTGCAGGTGTTGGGAAGCGATGGCGGTGGGTCGGCGCGAATGGCGAGAGCATATCAAGAGGGCAGTTGCCTAAGTGCATGAGAAATCATTACTTCATGCGGAAGAGGATCGTTATTTGCGGAAGCGACAGACGTCGATGGATTACAGCCCATCGAAATCAATCGCTTGGTGCTGTAGCATACGCGGTCGCGAGCGCCATCAGGGTAGCCACGTGAGGCCAACACCTAAGAGGGGAGGAGTTAGCTGAATTGGTAACCATCAGCGCAGCGCTAGGTAAGTACGGTGCTTCCGATTCCATTTACTAAACCAGGTGAATAACGCGACCGCTGCGGCACTGCATGGTCGCTGCAGTTAGTCTGTAAGTGTGCTTCCGTTCATCTTTACTTGCATTTCAGATTTCGGCTGTTTCTCGATATCCCCGGAATGGCTGCGCTTGATGTGGATGTTGACAAGGTGCCTACCTGTCTAACACCATCCACCTTGATTAGTGTCTCCAGGAGATTGTGGATCGTTGCTTGGGAAGATGGGTTGCACGGTCCGCGTGCCCATGCCGAGCTCAAAGATTGGTTCCATCAAGTGTGGATCGGGCTATGGCTCAATCATCGCCCTGCGTACACCTGGTACGCATGATTCCCCAATTAGACTGACTGGAATGCTGCTGCTGTACATGTTGAAGGTGTGGGCTGGCTCCGTTGATGAAGCGTGGCTCCTATCCACATGTCTCCGCGCCTATTCCTTCGGGTTTATACTGGAGATGGGGTGTGTGTGGTGCAGTGCAACCCACCCGAGGTCTCGCTGTAGACGTAGGCGTCCTGTGGCTGTCCTAGGGAGATCGCAATGATAGGCAAATCCAGAACCGGATGCCTCCAATCATGTTGTGCACGTAAAGCCAAGTTCGCTTTCGACCATGTGGACTTTAATGTGCTGTCGTCAACATTATCCGCGCATCACCCCACATCGTGGAGTCTCGCCTTACTTTCGTCGGTTTACACCAACACATCCTTGCGCAGATGGACAGATGGTGACAAGCTGTCCAATCACCTATCATTCGCTTCCCATTTCTCATGCTAACACATCACCCTACATCGTAACATAATATTACCCAAACCGTCTATCGCTATGGTGTACGCGAATCGGCCCTTCCGTATTGCATGATCCCAGTAAGTATACTATCAATCGGCCTACTCAATTTTAACAATACGAGGGGTGTTCGAAAACAAACCGAACTTTTGATATAACATCTTTATTGCTCATTACACAACATTTCAAGCACTTTCCCCATCAAAGTAGTTCCCTCTAATGGAAGTACACCGTTCCCAACGGTGCTTCCATTTTTGGCACTCTTGGAACGTACTTTCTGGGATGTCGCACAGGTCTCTTGTAGCAATGCCCTGAATCTCCTCTATGGTTTGGAAACGGCGTCCTTTCAACATGGTTTTAAGTTTGGAAAACAGGAGAAAGTCTGCAGGGGATAGGTCCGGAGAATACGGTGGATGGAGCACAGAGAGTGTAATGCTTTTCTAGATAACTGCGGACAAGTAGCGATGCGTGAGCCGGCGCAATGTCATGATGCAATATCCAAGGCTGGTTTTCCCACAGTCCAGGCCTCTTCCTGCGCACAGCATTTGATGGTGTGATCCTACGCTGATGCCCAATTCGTCAGCAACTTCTCGGACAGTCAACAGACGATTTCCACGGACTACAGCATGAACTTTCTCGACATGGTTATCGTCTGTTGATGTGGAAGATCGTCCAGGTTTGGGATCGCCATTGATCAACATTCTGTTGTGTTCAAAATACTTAAAGCATTTACAGCACTGCGTGCGACACATACAGTTCGCCCCGCATGCTTGGCTAAGCAATGGAAATGTCTCTGCATAAGATTTGGCAAGCATGTAGCAAAATACAAGACATATATATACACACACATACCAGTAGTAGTTCTTCAAGCTATTTCATTGTCTATTTGGCACTAAGCTGACGAACAGCTTGTGCAGGTGCTCACTTCAGCGGCTGGAGCTCCACAACCAACAGTCAGAGCGAAATACGGCAAATAGTAGTTTGTTGTCTAAACAAACCTCCACATACGCTCAGTAGCCACAGCGCGCTCCTTCTGCCGGCTGCCGCACTATTTCAAAAGTTCGGTTCCTTTTTGAACACCCTACATATGACACAATTACAAGGGAGTATAAAAAGGGCAGTTGAATGGTAAAATTGGTCCATCAGATCTAGACTCAGACAGCCAGTACACATCTGGAAAAGCGCTGTACAGATGTTTCATCCATTCGGGAATCTTCAGCAGTGTGCATTCCATCTAACCCCTGTGGAGCTGGAATCCGCAACTCGACAGTTACCAGTCGTGGTGAGGGATACGGGGTTACAGGGGATGGTAACAACCGACGTGACTAAGATAATCAATGGTGCAGTACAGTTCACATGTCTAGTGGGGTACTGAATTCAGGTGGATGGCATCGAGAAACATGGACCCTTTAGTGCCTCGCTGGAATATGGGTGGAACTCGAACAACGTGGTTAGCCATCCGACGGCCGGCCACCTCACGGTGAATTGTTTACCGATGCTATAACTACACGGGAGAGGCATCAAGGCGGTCAAGCGATGACATGGCGAACAGCATGTGAAAATCTGACGGGCAACTGATTCAGACAGATGCAAATTAAATCGCACCGATGATTATGAACTGTGTTAAACATGGTACAGTCACGAATTTAGTGGTATTTTCGCGTTCGCTCTCTTTTTGTTGGCACATCGCTTCTCCAACTGATGGTTCGGGTTTTGCCAAATACCCACAAATTGTTCGGTTCTCTCTGTTATCGCATTATTTCCATCTTTTTCAAATTTTATTTCGCGGCTACATGAATCGAGCTCGCTAACCGAACCATGTGCGAACATCTAAGTCAAGCTGTTCATTCGAGGCGGAACTGACCGGAAGATGACTGGATGGTCGCTTAAATTGTTCGAATTCAACCTATCGCACAATCTCAGCAAACACAGTGGGACCCGGGACCGTGATCAACAATTGTGAAGTGATCGCTAAGTTACCCATTACGGGCAGTTTAAAAATAGTAGACTATTGGATGTGGACATGCATTTTAACTCCACAATCAGGAGTATCGTGGCCGTGAACCATATTCCGGGACCAGTAAGCTCCAGGAGAAGATAAAAATTCATCGGCCATCACGCAGACCGAAAAGCCCAGAGTCGTTTTTCAAGAGGAAAATGTCCTAGTTCAATGGATGCTCAGATGTCAACAACCAAACTCTGTGTCCGGGATGTCATCATAATCCTACTCAAATAACCGGGGGAGGGAGAGGTGAGAAAACCAGTTAGCGACCGGTTAGATGAACCATGTTAACAGAAATGACATTGCGGGGAAAGTAAAAAAATCAATTAAAATAGCAAAGGACGGCCTAACAAAGAACATACTTCAACAACTAAAGGAGGAATATTCTCCACGTTGTTAGATCCACAGGGGACCGGTGTATTCAGCGTGTTTCGGTATGGATTCGGGCTATCCAGATCGACGTTCATGGGAAGTACGATTCTTGAAAGATCTGCCCATTGGGAATGGACCGAAAAACGTTCGGTGTTTGACTCACTGGCAGTGGAGGCGACTGTTAAGTAGACAACAGGGAACACAAAATGCAAGGAGATGCGAACGATACGCGGTGAGCGGGTGATATGCGCTGAACATCCTGACCACGTGTACAACTTAACTCTCTTGAACTAAGTATACTGAGTGGCTTGAGTGCCAAAAACACAGCAGACTCATTTTGTTGTCTAGAGTGGTGAAGTGAGAAAAACCGGTATTTTGTTGTAGAGTGCCGGCAGCACAGAACACAAAATCGGAAGCAGGCTTTCTGGTCTCTGAAAGTTAACGGTCTCACTATCCTTCTCGTCCGGGGAGACCAGCGCAAACCTTCCGTATATATATATATATATATATATATATATATATATATATATATATATATATATATATATATATATATATATATATATATATAGAAGTTGGCAGAGGCACAGCATATGGACAGATGCTATGCAATGATAGCAGGAAAAACGAGAGAAAATGTGTAAAACGGAAGTTGCGGGAATATGCTCTCAAACACACTCGTCTTTGCGCACAGTTTCAGCCATATGTGCAGGTGATCCTTGCGCCCCCAGCCAGGGAGCCGGGAGCGCCCGACTGAAGCCAAATTTGAGGTCAATGCCTTCATACTTTTGGTCCAAGTCATACGTTGGTCAACTTGTTTTCGCGCGCGCGAAGGGTACACAGTGATGTAAACGCCCAGTAGGCATGTTAAGCATGTGCAAAACCCACGGAGGCATGTGCAGAGAAAATATGCAGCTCAATGGCCGGCAAAGTGTGTCTGATCTGAAAATTCCTCGACGAACATCCTCATTACTAATGTGATGTTACCATCGTACACCAGCAATGCTCCGAAGGCAGCGGTGATCAAAAATAAACAGCCTCTGAACGTAATCTGCACGAATAGGCTGTCTCGCAACGGTAGAAGAGCACCGCTGTTACTGCGGCATTGTGGACTTTGCCCTTCAAGGAGAGACTCAGGTTGCAGCGGCGCCAGAGATGGCGGAGATTAGTAAAAACAATCAGGACCTTAGAGAGGTGCAAAGAGACCTCATCAGTTAGACCGTTAGTGATGATGCAGCTTCCAAGATAAACAAACATGTTTACTACTTCTAAAGAGTGATCTGAAAGGGTAAATATAGGAGCAGCTCCTAACCAGTTCAGTACGAAGACCCTACGATGGAGCGCAGATCATTCCAAAATGGGAGACAGACAAATTCAACCTACATGGCACATTTTAGGTGGCCAGTTAGGAGTCGCAAACTATGGTGATGTCGTCTGCATGCTCCAAATACCAAAGTCGGTCCCCCGAAAGCAGCTCAACACCACTGGGTTCGCGGTTCTCCAGAGCACTCTCTAAGATGTCATCCATGGCGAAAGTGAACATTAAGGGTGATGCTGGGCAGCCTTGTCTCCCGCCACTTGTGATACTGAAAGGGGGCGAAAGACCGCCGTACACGCGCACCCAGTCCGAGGTTCGAGAACACGAAAGATGTTGACATACTTCTCGGGCACTCTCCTTCCCAACAGACAAATCCAGAGAGCAGCTCGGTCAACTGCGTCAAACTCAGCTCGTCTGTCTAAGAGGGTAACGAAAGTTGACCGGCCGAATGTTTGACGACGCTCTAATAGTTGGCGAAGAGTAAAGATGCGATCGGTACAACTCCGGCCGAAGTGGAATCCAGCTAATCCTTCGCGCATGTTCTGTTCGCGTACCAGGTTGAGCCTCCCTAAAATCAAAGCGGCAAGCACTTTGGATGCAATGCAGATAAGACTAATCGCTCTATGGTTAGCGCGATCTGTCTTCGCACCCTTTGTGAAGACGGGCACGATATCTTCTAGGCTCCAATCAGACGGGATTGCTTCAGTGAGTGAAACTGCTTGGAGGAGAAAAATTAATTCCCATACAAGGTATGAGCCTCCATCCTTGAAAAGAGCCGGAGGGAGTTCGCCTGGACTAGGGACTTTTTAACATTTTAGGAGGCGAAACTCATGAGCAACCTCAGTCTCAGATGGTGGAGCGTTTACACACCAGGCAGCACTTTGGATTCTCGAGTACTCGCCAGTATTACTGTCGGTTAAACTGTAGTTCAAAATGCTCGACTCAATGCACAAGTCGACCTTGTTGACTGTGGGTTTGGTTTCGCACAAAGCTTCGCTTACAGTCGGCCCTTTTTTCACCAGTAGATCGGATCAGGAGGAAAAGTTTTAGGGATTACCCCGAGGTGGCCGGTTGCTCTTCATCAGGCCTGATGAAGCTTTTGTGTCAAAAGCGAAACGTTGTCTATCACCATAAATACATTAACCGGTCGTCTACCAAGTTTTCTGAAATGATGTCTTTCGAGCTGCTGTAATTATTGAGGAACCAAGTGATTAACCTAGAAACCCCCCCCCCCCAAGCTGCCAAGAATGCAGAGAATTGTCCACAGAGCCCAACAGGTGGCTGGAAAGTGTATCGACATTAGACATAGATAGTTGAGTTGTCATCAAAAACGATTTATCGCATGCTTGTTGAAATAACTAAATGTGTGACGATGGAAAAAGCAGCATGATGTGTCAGCAACCTGCTGCCTTTTCAGGGGATCGAACGCATGACCGCTAGCAGCTTCCACCATTAGCCAGTAACTTATGCCACTGAGCCATGGGAAAAGATAACCGGTCACCATGAATTGAAATCTAACTGCGATATAGCCTGACCCATGCTCCACTGCTATACCAGTCCTCGAAATCCTGTGTTGACTCAAAGCACTGGAAATGAAGTCTCGACCCAGACGGCCAACCACTGTCCTCCGCAGGGGCAGTAACTTGCATGGCCGCGAAGGATGGGTCGGGTTATATCGCAGTTCTATTTCGGTCCGTGATGGTCGGCTTCGTCCCCTATGTCTAATTGGCATAAGCTGCTGACTATTGGCGCAAGCTACTAGCGGTCAGATCCCCAGAAGGGGACATAGGGAAGGCGCACCATTGACGAGTCCTAATGAGGCGAAACGATCAGCTGGCGCTTTTCCGGACTGGTAGTCGACCATTGTGGCTTGCACTGTAATTGTGATGGACAAAATAAACATTGATGATTGCTAAACTGTCCCATTTTCGTTCACCTGTTCATGTACTCTGCTATTTATTGTTTTCTTGCGGATTCTCGAGATATAGAATTGAGGCACTGCCTGGTGAACAACTGTTTCTTCTGAGTTTACGGCGTGATCAAAACAGGCGTGTTGTAGAATGAGCGACAGTCAAAGATGGAATCGCGCCACACGAAACCTATGGCGACGTGGCTTAGTTGAGATGCTGGCGACCTCACAGTATAACCAGCCAACGCGTGATTGGCAGCGGTCGCGTGACAGAAAGGCATCCCTACGGTGTGCGGACGTGATACTTGCCTGCTATTCGAGTCCATTAGTGACCGACAACCGGAGTACGCTAAGTAGCATGTCGATGCCCACTGTGCCCGCAGGCTACGCTTATAGAAAACAGTAGATGTCCGGCGAACAGTCAAAACAAACGATCGTCACTGCCTGGGTATTCGGAAGCAAGTTCAAACATCCGCCTAATGAGCTTCCGAGCTCAAACCACTTACTTGCACGTTCATATCCCTTGCAATTAGAACGATATTTGAACTAGTAGCTCTTAGAAGCATCTTGTTGAGTTTGTAGTAGGAAACGTCCTTAGTAGCTATAGTGCTGTAGTAGATGGAGGCATAAGCTACAGTCAAAAACAAACGTCATCTAGTGCTACCGATGTAGTCAAACGGGGTGTACACAAAGTGCTGCTCACGTGAATCCAATCAACTAGCCATGAGTCAGCTTTGGAGCTGAGAACGATGTCCATTCCAGATTGAGCGCGTCAGTCTCCCAGGATGCGAATACTTAGACAGGGGATCAACCGGGAGCAGTTAGTATGAAAACGGAGACAGGGTCACAGATCCTAGTTTCGGATGTGGCACGGCCGTCGACACCCAGGGTGTCAAATGTGCGTGTGGATGTAGGTTGTTGATCAAGTTGTCTCAGGGTGCGAACGTTGAACACCACCAGAGAAATATGATAATGTGGCCTGATATAAACGTCTTTATGGCAAGTGTCTGAAGGGTGCTGCTGGAATGTAGTCGCAGATGGATGCAGACATTAGCAAGGACGCTTCGGGTTATATAAAAAGACTAGTACGAAAAGCAGGTTGAAAGGAAAGAAGGGAAACATCAGCGCTAACAACTTCTCGATCATCCGCTCTGCTGTATGCAGCATGTTAGGCGACCCTTGATAAGCTGTGTGACATCCGATGCAGGGTGTGGCGGAAGTTGATGGTACGCTCATTTACTCATGGTTGTACGTTGGTTGGAATACTGCAAAAGTGTCTAAATCTAGGCACGTGGACGAGTAGGATACTCAACCAAACGCGTTGACTCAAAAGTCTAGACGCAAGCAGTAGGAAGACAGTGAAGAGCTGGATTAAATGAAATGGACACCATCCCATATCCAACCACCAACCTAGTGGCTGGGTTCGTCTGACCTCAAACCATTGACCAGTCTGGTAGAAGTAGCTCTCAAGGTAACCAGGTGCATCACCCAGCACTGCTCAACTGATCGGAAAGGAATGGGAAATGTCGCATAACAGTGAAATTCATTCACATCGCACAAAATTTATTAGAGCATAACTCCGTCAGATATGAAGAGGTGGTCTCTGATTACAGTTTTACAGGAAGTCTGAATAAAGTTTACATCACAGAACAGACGTGCTGTGCTTGCTAGTACTGAGTAATAACACAAACACAGAGTTCATACAAAACAGACTAGTCTGCCCGAGTCATGAGGGTGGATCCACATATTCGTTTGTATCCTTAATAAAGGTTGTAAAATGCTTACCTACGTTTCGAGATGTCAGCCACAGTAGTGGACAAAGCTTTGGATGAAGTCAGGCGGCTGAGAACACAGAACGATCAAGCGACCAAGATTCAATGGGCGACATGCGCACGCAGATTAACGGAACAGTTAGAGCAGCAAGCAGAAGGACAAGTAACGGGTCATTTTGGATGCCACCACCTCCATGCCAACGGTTTTCGCTTGCCCCTAGAGCAAGTCTGAGTAAACTTACATCGATAACGAGAATACGAAAAAGCAATAAGTCCACAAATTCTACTGAACAGTGGCATTGATGAGATGAACCCGTCCGCATGTAACACGAAGGAAGTTGTGAAACGTTGTGCAGCCAAAGGAAAACTGATGAGCGAGTTGGAAGACTTACCGAGGCCACTCGTATTCGCAGGAAACCGTATTATCACGGGTTTATCAAAGGATTGAAGAACCGGGTTGGTCGCCCGCCAGTTGACCAAGCGCAAAGGTAAAGAGTCATTCGGTGGACACAAGATGATTGTCTGTGGAAGGTTGCCTTGAGCTGTACTGAGATGGATAATGGACTGGAGCGGGGTGCTCGCTGCTGTGGTGCTGGTGGTAGTAACTGCGGGGGCGGTATAAACTGGGTGGGAGACACAAAGCGATACCGGTTGACTCTGTTGGATAGACTGGAAGGGTTTGGGGCAACATCATGAAGGTAACATCAAGGCTCCAGAATGATAGCAAGTAGAAAAGGTAAAGTACGGGAACTAGTGAATGACACTCGGGTAAAAACCAACAAGATCGTGCGATAGTATTGAGGTGCAGTATCATAGGGCATTAGTAAAACGAAGCAGGGCTCCAATTTGAAAAAAGACCAATCAAGCAGTGATAATATGAGATACTGCGGTGGTTTAAATTCAACAAAAGCAACCAAGCTTATGGAAGATAGCAGGTCAAGGTATGTGTGGAAAAGGTTCGCGCTCATTAGCATAGTATAAATCTTGGCGCCTGTAGTTGACGAAGGTTTGTGTGATGCACAAGAAACGTAAGGGATCGTCACCAAAACATGAAACGAAACAACCCACCATCGAAGTGGAGCTGGGCCAATCTCGGGCTGATGCATATGGCAGTAATGCAGAAACATGTGGCAATACTGTTGGTTGTGTTGGCAGTGTGAGCGGCTGAAGATGACCAGGTTGTGTGGACTGGGTGAGAGGAGAGAGGCGGTCGACAGGTTCTGCGACGACAGGTATGGGGGGAGAGGGATTACATTCCGCGCCACATGCACGGGTTGAGGGGTCGGAATTAGATTCTTGAACATCCACAAACTCCTCGTCTGTAGGGTAGGAGAGAGATGTTGACGGTGGAGAATTATTTGAACTCCATTATGGTTTGATAACTGATGCGTAAATACCAGTGAGAAAAGTTAACTCCCACAAAAAGTAAAAGACAGTGGGTAAAGAGTAGTAAGTATAAATGACGAAAGCCAAGGCGAACAAACGCTCCAGACAAGCAGGGATAAACTGGAGAGCCCAACAGGTGAGGATACCATAAGAACCCAGTACCCTTGATAAGATGTGTTGAAAAGACGCTACGAAAAACAAATGCGTAACCGAACACTCGCTACTGGAGCCAATTCTTCAAAAACGAAATGCCTCCATATAAGCGCTGGTTGTTGAAAAAGCGTGACCAGCCACAGTAGGTGCATATAGTAGACAATCAAAACATACTGGTAGCGCGACTCCCATGGGACAATGACAATAGAGTAGTACAAACTGCATCATAGATTTTTCAATGGTGAGCGAAAGTGGGAAACCATCTCGAACGGTAGAACTCTTGGCACCAAAGTGTTTCCTTGGGAAACGAATAGCCAGAGCTCATGATCAAAATGCTAGAAGTTAACTCACACTGTCAAATAAACACTAAAACCCAAAAGCGCAAAAGGCCAGGTAGCAATCAAATAGACCGCATATAAACCTACAGAATTTCATAGTAGACTCAGAGCAGAACAGGCTCTGTTGCAGAGATTCCAGCTCTGACAACTGATCTGGTACTGAGTGACCAGGTGCCTTCATGTCTGGAGTATGTAATACCGAGGGGCTGGGAATCTGCGCTGTTGACTTTCGCTTGGACGAAGTGGAGCGGCGCCTTTTTGTTGGTGGAGAAGCAGATTCAGCAACATTGTTTGTGAACTGACTCAAGCAAAGGGGAGAGGCAATCCGACGACGCGATCCTTTCTTGCTTGTCTTCGTAGCCTGTTTAGCAGTGTTATTCGACGCTGTCTCCGGCACAGTGTCCAGGAGCGAATCGGCTGATCCAGTCAGAGAAGCAACAACTGGTGTGGAAGTAACAGAAGGAACGACTAGGCTTGAAACGTCTTCAGGTTGTGCAGCAGGCGTGCCGGGGTCAGTCTTCACTTCTGGACTAGAGAGCTCATGACTTGCCAAGTCAAATTGTGATAGGACATGATCGATGCAACTATCCAGATTGCATCGCTGGGGCGAAAAAGCGAGAAGAGATTGGTAACAAACCTAGTGCCAACGATGTTGGTGGAATGGTCAGTGTGTAAAAAAGCAAAACACTCGAAACGGTCGAGTCACCTTAAGTTGTCACAAGAGCCATGCAGTCGATGAGCACTGAGTCGGAGATTTCTTAGAAAACAGTCTACTCACTGGGGACCAAAACAGACCGTATCTGTGAGCTTCTATTTATATGGGAACGCTTGATAATTACACATTCTATTGAACGAATGAAAGGATTTAAATATGAACAACACACGAAAAGTTTTCCAGTGGTTAGAAACAGCACTCAAACCCAAAGTGCATACGCATCACAGGGAATGCGAATTAAGGCAAGCTGTGCAAGATGACGGTTAATGAAGTGGGGGTTCTGGTGTAGCTCTCTCCCATCCCTGCACTCCATCACCAACGGTTTCGTCCTGGTTTGGGCTCATCAGCTAGAAATAGTCAAACTGGGAGTGGAAGTCAGCGCATAGCGCTTGGCGGCTATTGCCATAATCACTAGGTCATTGGACTCGGCGAGCAGCGGTGTCAGTCATTGCTGTGTCAAGCAGGAATGGGAGAGAGCCACACCGAAACCCTCCATTTCGGTGATGGTCCCAGTGATCGTATTGGTAGAGTCCAACTTCAAAGTCAACCGAAGCCACGATTGAGATTGCCGGTTGCAATCCAAGACAGACGGCAGGTGTTACAAAATCGACGGTCTAAGAAATTCCTTATGTCAAAATCAGTGGAAAGCCTTGTGTAACATGTGGCGATAGTAGCGAGTAGAAGGAGTGGACCAAAAGAAGACAAGGAGAAGTCGAATCCGTGACTGAGTTTCGCCACGGAAGTCGGTGTGACTTCGCAGACGCCATTAAGAGAATTGCTCAATTCATTCTTTTGTAGAGTCAAAATAATGGATACCAATGGTAGTAGCATTTGCTAGGTTCTAAAGTATGCTGTTGTTAACGACAGACTAGGGGCGTGTATGGCATGGGTTAAAGGCTAAGGGGACAGTGGGGCAACCTCCCCTGTGGCCACGCTTTCACCGGTGGTTAAGACACAGTGCTCGAATCCCCTATGCGAACCGGCCAAGCTTTATGTCTACGAGGTTATCATATCGACGGATTACCGGCGTGACGATCAGGGTGTACAAAGTAGATGGACAAAAATACATTAAATCACTAGGAAAGACGTGCGTAATCGCTGGACAGAATCGTCTAGGCGCATGCATACACATAAACTGCAAACTCAACAAACCTCGAGCCATCCAGTGAGGTGATCTGGGTACTCTGAAGAGTCAGGCGAGTTGCGTAAATGATCTGGGGGTGCTGGTAACCGGCTATAATCACCAGAAGATTCAGATGATACAGCAGGCGAATGAGGTATGGAGACAGAAGGGGTGATTTGGCTTCCAAGTGGTCCATCGGCGGAGTAAGGCACGTTTGACATTGCATTCTGCAGGGGGAAATGGTCGCAGTCGTTTCTCACATGGCCACCAATCTTCGCGTTGATATGAGTCGCCACTCGTTCCGGATTTGAGAGAAGAGCGGAAAGAAAACGCTGAATGATGAGTGGAGGAGATATGAATAAACAAGTGTGATGTGTTCAAGCTAAGTAACAGAACCATATCTGCAAACTCATCAAGTGGACAATATGCTCAGAACACTTGCTTCCATTGAGTTTTTAGTGAAGAGTTATGGGCTGAAGCAGTCAGTGCATCTAACTTAGGACGAACCACCTAGTAACTGTTGCACCTGCGCTGACTGAGCCACCTCTTTCAAACACATGATGACGATTTACATCGTCATGTGTGCTTGTTGCTTTGACCGGACGAGGTAATGAGGAAATTAAGTAATAAGCTAGTAAAGAGAATTGAAGAACCTAAAATATATCCCGCAAGGATGCTATTAATATAACATAATAACAAACAAACATATAGGGATGACGTTTCACGTTCGGCCTAATGTCTCGGACTAGAAAGTAAGTGGCTTTGCAAGGTTTTGGCGTGAACAATATTTGTACTTGTGGTGAAATGAAATTTGGCGGTTAGATTTTCAGAGCGAAAATGTGAAATGAACTGTTGTTGTGGGACTTAATCGGGGGATTAACAAAGAACAAGCCGTTATTCGGATGGCCGTAGCTTAAAGGTAACGAGCTTGTCTGGCAATCTGGCGGCGCGAATTCGAGCCTGCGTAGGAGCAGGGCGACCCTCGGAGTATTCTTAGCCCAAGTGCGACTGGTGGTGGTTGCGCAGCAGCGAAGCGTCGGTACTGCTTACCCACGTACTGCTGATGCATTTAAAGTTGAAATCTATATGTGCTTGCTAACTAGGGTTCCGTTTATATAACAGACAACAATGTATCAGCTGAACCCCGGAACGGAGCTTCGCTGCCACGCGACCACCACCAGTTGCACGCGGGAAGAGTGCACCGCGAGGAAGCCAACTCCTACGCGGATTCGACCCGGAGACCTTATGATTGCAAACTGAGTGTGCAGGCCAGTCGGCCACCTGCAGAGATCCGCCCAGACAGAAGGACAATAAACTGGATGGGAGAGAAATGTAACTTCCGCGTAGCGCGTCTGTGTGGACGATGAACATGTTGGGCTGGATACACTTGCTGACCTGGCTAGAAGCAGACCACAATGGAATTCGTGCTGTGAGCTTCTCCGATCATCCCCATCCCGCTTAGCCTCACGCTCCAAAGCTCATTTCTAAGCATAATGTAAATAAACATAAAAAGTTTTGTTGCACAGCAGCCGGCTGATAACTTAACGGAACGATACCCATCCGTTGCTGCACCATTTTACAGGCATGTTAGCTCATTGTACCAAGCTTTAAGTGTGACACATTTTCGAGATCGCGTGCAGTGCTTTCAAGTTAGCGAGGCTAAAAACGCTGTTTTGGAGTCGTTGACATTCTCATTGGTCCTAGGACGTTAGCCAATGGGACACCCGTTGGAAGCCCCGAGCATAAGCCACAGACAGAAAGTGGTCGAGCACCATCTTCTGCTCTGTCTTGATGCCCATCTGAAGGAAACCCTGATGATTGGTCTCCAAACTGAAATAGTCCATGGGCAACTTGTGATGCCTGTCTAGGGAGGAGACCCAAGCTACCACATGATCCGAAGCTCACGCCGTAACCAGGACATAGTAACAAGCACATGAAACCGTCTACACTTAGTGCTCGCTAGCGGCTACTTGGTGGTGGCTTATTCAGCGGCCTAACCATGATGACGTAGACAGGCAATCTTCTAACTGATATTCCGCAGTCTGAGACCTGAGCGAGTAAGGCAGGCCTGCATTTGCGATTGATCAGGCATGCGCCGTGGCTTGGACACTGCACACCCAAACCTGAATCAGCAATGGCTTCTAGGCGGTTAGACAATTTTGTGCGATTGTCATTGCGACTATCATGGGGGACATTGTTCCCATTGAAGTTGGTAGACCAACCTGAAGCTGAACAACGAAAGTTCTACGTTTGCTTACTTCTATCACAGTTGATGAATAAACACAAACTAAGAGGATTCCAAGTGTGCCGTTGACACGACGTTAGTGAGTGTTCGTTGTCTCCACACCCATGAGCGACTTTGTTAATCAGTTATCGCTTCAGTGTCTCCATGTATGGCGTTATTTAAAGGTTATAGGAACCTAAGTATTCATAGAATAATTAGGCTTTACTTCCATACGGTCGCCCATACGTGTTGAGACGCTTTCACAAGTGGCTCTCCGAATGGAACCATTAGAAGTGCAGTCAATGCAGATGAAACCTCCCTATAACGTCCATGGACTGGAATGCTATCCTCATGAAATCTGCATTACTCAACAAAAACCACATAAAGGGGCTACAATGACTACCGTATTTATACATGCCACACAGTCCTGGCAGAAAAACCGCAAGGCTGATAATTAGTGGCGACGCACGTATTTTACTCTGGTAATTCAAATGAGTAGTTGGAACAGACAAACACTGTCGTCTCACCCAAAGGGCGTTCCCACAATGTGTTTGCAATCATTTACAAAGGCAATCGCGCCGACTAAGCCTGCTATGGACCACCGTTTCAACTAGTCTTAAAAGCAGTCATGTGTACACACTGTGACACACGTTGTTACCGACTTGGCAACTACTCCGAAACAGTTTGTCATTGGAAAGTAGGTAATTCCGGAGGCGTCGTTGAAGGAGGAAAATTGCTCCAAACCCTATGCTTACAATGCGTATGCAATGCTCGTCGGCAGATCATATCAAGACCGTAGGGTTACTTGGTATTTCAAGCTTATCAATCACTTGGAAGCGAAGTGTAAATATCATGTTGAAACGCAGGAGTGACATGCATCTTACGACCTTAACATAACGGCAGATCCATGGGTGCTGAAGCGGTAACTGGTTACCGAAGTGGCCCACAGGTGTGAAGGTGTGAAAGAAGCTGCCGCCCGCATGCTTTAAAATTCTACAACTGGTCAGTTCATGGAATCTTTAAATCAAAAGAAGTGAAAGGAGTAATGACAAGTTAGGTCGAAAAGTTGGAGATAGCTTGGGGGATAAGACAAGCCTGATGTACCCGATATGTTATGGGGAACTTCCTAGATTCGTTCCGCACGGCCGGGGGGAGCATGACCCTAACATTATCTTATGAACCCAAACGAAAATACTCTTTGGAAGTCAGAGACTTCGCAGATTCATGAAGGAATTCCTGTATTTTTGTAACGGGTGAGAAAGATTTGGTAATTATACGTCTATCGGTAATGAACCATTCGCTAAGATGGCGGAGTGGAGCATTTGTCCAGTAATTGGTGATCGAATTCCCAGCAAGTGACTAATGGTCATGTGACAAAAAACTGGACTTTGAGGGTAGGAAGTGCTTGTCAACGGGTGAATCCACTCCTAAAGGTTTGTCGGTGGTCGATGCTGCCGCCTCGCAACTGCTAGATAGCAAAACAATGCGGTCGGTGTAAACCTACATCAACTAGGTATCCCGCAGATAGCACTTTAAGGGTCGCTTCGTAAGACACCGCAGGGGGACACTCCGTGATGACGTCTATAATTAGCCTGGATAACAATGAAGAAATGTGACACTCCAACTAAGCACTAATTTTGAATGAAAAAATGTTATATATTTTTTAGTGGAATTGCGCTCCACAACTCGCCGCAGCACCCGACGCGACTTGTGCTGCAAAAGCACAGGGCACGCAGTGTTCACATCTTTGATGAGAACTTCTGACCGAATATGTAGAATAGGGTACCACGACCGCCGTAGATGAACGCGCTTGTAAAGTGATGGGACAGCGATAGCAGACTTGCACCAAGTGTGCCGTTGCCCTATCAACTGCCACAGAGAGAAAATATGGTCCACACAACCCGACCCGGACGGAAATCCGCCCACATTCCCCTCATCTTGGACTCCTGTTCAGAAGTGATGGAAATGATGAGAATGACTTCGTCACTATAGGTGTCAGGTAGATACCGTCGTGATTAGGCCAGGAGTTGCAATTACTCGTTACGAAGAAACTGGGCCAACTGGTTGGGAGTGTCTTAATTCGGAGGAGCTAACATCATGCAGAGGATTCCAACACCAACCTTAAGCAGCGAGAACACGAGATAATCAGGATCAATGGTGACGAGACGGTTCGGGGCAACGACCGCGTCACAGACCCTAGAATCATTCGGACCGGTAATTTAGCTTGCGACACTTGGACAGGAATAGAAAGTGAATTGAATCTCTACCAAACTGCCCTACCCAGCTGGTCAGAGAATGATTCTTAATATGAATTGGGACGCCACTGTTTTCATCCAATGCTGTGATGGCACGTGATTTCCTGGGGTCAGGGGACCGGTGATAGTAGAATACCATGTAGCACAGTTATCCCTTGCTCTATTACATCGAATGTCGTCACAAACAAGATGCGCGTGAGTAGCATCCGTGTCCAGAAAGGAATGCGAGTTCGTAGAGTATACTGGCACAAGAAGATGGGTAAACATGGAAGAAATGATGTGATCATCCGATATGAGACGAGTATCCATACGCACGAATACAAATGCGATGAAAACGAACCTGGAGATCAAAGTCGTCTTCGTGGTCGGAGGCGTCGGGGCCCTTTAATTCAGAGGTGGCAGATACTGCAGTGATGTGTCGAGGAGGATGGCTGAAAGGAAAAAATGGAGGGAAAGAAGATAAAATGATTCTCGACAGCACAGTCACAAAACAAGAAGTAAATATATCCCCATGAAAAACGAACAGACACGGAAGTGATCAGTGGAATCTGAAAGAAATTGTTACAATTTTCTGAAATGGTACAGTCCATCAAGTCTATGGTGAAATAAAGAAACACTAACCGGTACCTGGTCACAATGACAGCAGTGATCATGTGAAATAATGAATATCTGACCGACCTATTGAGCTGGACTAAAAAGAGACAACAGAATACTGATGCGTAGCAGTGACGATTTTGTATAACTCAGATAATTCATCGCCGCCACTCACATTCAGCAGGCTTAGGCTAGTCTGGAGGGCTATATCATAGTCAACTGTCAATCACGCAGGTCCGCGGTTGTCACCCATGGCGAAGTGACACTAGCTGCTGGCATCCTGAAGTCATGGGGGCGGAATACGGCAGCGGTCCGCTGGGAGGCGCACCACTGACGAGACGCTGAAGGTCGAAACGCCTGTGTCTGGTGCTTTTCTAGACTAGTCTAAACCTGCTGAAGGGGAGTGACGATGATGAATTAGCTACAAAAGACAACGGAATAAACAAAAAGGTCGCATAGCTAAAAATTTTGATAAACGTCAGTCTACACCTGGTGGCTAAGCGGTGATTGGACTTATAAGCTGATGACCAAAGCTAATCTTTAACGCAGCTGAAAAGTAATGGTTCACCTACACAGGACACCGAACGCACTTTGGAAGCGAAATGGTACACCCGAGCAGTTCCCAGCTCTGTTCATGTCATCTTCGCAACCACGATCCTACAGTCGATGTGATGTATTAAAATGGCGTCATGACGATGGGAGTTGATGAAGAAACAAAAGGGAGAGAAATCAAACCAAGAGCTTGAATTGAAAGGAGTTTTAAAAGCGTTACAACCACAATATGGAACCAATGGGCAGAAATGAAGGAGTGTACACAATAGGAACCGAATATGCGCATGCGAAGTGAGCGCACCCTAATCTAGGAAAGAATTCAGCGCAGTTCAACTGGCCACAATTGCCCTCGAGTTCTGACTCCCGCATCCACAGTGTGCCCTGGTGTGTAAGCACGTCTCTGTTGTCTGAGGCCGAGGTTTCCTATGAGTTTAGTCATCTAAAGAGTCACAAATAGTCCGATCCAGACCAACTGCCTCCCGCTCTCTTAAACGACAGAGGCCCGTCTCTTTTCTGAACTAAATACCCACCTTTAAGATATTGGGACCACTGAAGTCAACCGATCTGGGTGGGAGTTTGCGGACATAGTGTTCATTTTCAAAAATGGTGACCGAACAGACCAAAGCAACTATCGAGGGATCAGCATGTTATAGATTGCGTCCAAAATACACTCTCTCCTACTTGAATGGAAGCTCAGTCGAGTACGCGAACAGCGCAGGCTGGGCTTCCCCACACTCGGTGTCGTATTAATCACATCTTTACGATTCGCCTGACACTACAAAACCACGGAGCTTTCAGTCGGTCAATCATGGTTTGTTTCCAAGACATACGTGCTGCTGCTCTTTGGAGGTGCTTTCTGAGAAGAGGAGTGCCTAAGCAATCTGGCAACATAGCCCAGGTAATCTATTTTTCAATCTCAAGGTGTGTGTGAGTATACAGTGGTTACTTGCAATCATAGAGTATCATCACTGATGAGACAGAGAAGACAAGCATGTACCATCATGTTCAAACTGGCTATGGGTAACATCTTAGAGTCCCCTGGAAAACTATAGATTTATTGGCATCGAGTTGCTTTTGTGTGATTGGCTTCATGACATGGAGCATGCTGATGACAAAGCTGCAATCTGTGACTCATCACAGGGTGATCAGGACATGCTGCACAAGTCAGACATGTCTGTCTCAGTTCGTGATGACTTCTGCCCCTTCAAAGTACGAGGTAATCCTGAAGGACTCGTTAGAAGCTGCTCCTACCCTCATCCCATCCGACTCTTCTTTCGAAGTAGTCGACAAGTTCGTTTACCTTGAGAGCTTCATTGACACAGGAAATTAAAGGAAGAGCTCAAATTGCGCATCCCTAAAGCCACAGTATGCCTTGCCAGCTTCCGATACCTCTGGTGTCGTCGTGGTCTTAGGCTTCCACTGAAAGACTGGATCTACAGCGCTACGGTACGGAGAGTGCTCCTTTTATGGCTATGTGACTTGGCCTATTCGAAGGAGCGATATCCAGATAGTATCTACTTTTGAGCTCCGAATCCTCCGGGACATTGTTGGTGCACGTTGGCAGCATCGCACTGGTAATGATGGCGTTTGTCATCGGATTTTCAAATCAGACAGACAATGCCGACAAGTGATGTGCCTTCGGTAGCTCGGGCACGTGTTTCGTGTGCCTGCTCAGCGGTTGTCCCGCAGCGCTCTCTGCACGCATCGGCGTTGAATGGAAACGACGGAAAGGTGGTCAACGTGTCCGGAGCCCAAAGAAAGCGAACATACCTGGTTGAAAAAGCTGTCGGATATGCGCCGGAACCGAAGTGTGAACGTGCTGCGACTCTGCTCTGCTGATTGTGCTTTCTCTCTCCCATATGTACTGGCACTCGCCCAATTGTATATCGATCAAGTGTCGAATATATATATATATATATATATATATATATATATATATATATATATATATGGTTGGCGGCATCCGGTTTCGGATTTGCCTGTCACTGTGGCAAGCCACAGGACGCCTGCGCCTACAGAGGGACCATGGATGGCTTGCGTTGCACCACCCACAGCTCCAACCACATACCCCATATACAGTGTAAACCCGAAGGAATAAGACCGGGAGGCATGCGGATGGGAACCACGTTTCATCAACGGAGCCGGCCCACACTCCTTCACAAGCAAACACAAGCACGCTGTATTTGGGGAATCAACCGCACACAAGGCGGTGGCTGGACCGTAGTCCGCTCCACACTGAATGCATGGAACCGCTCTTTGAGCCTAGCACGGCCACAAGAACCGTGCACCCCGTCCCCTCCAGCAACGACCAACTGTCTCCTGGAGCCAGTATGAACGATGTAGTGGGTAATAGACAGGTAGGCACCTTGTCAACATACACATCAAGCGCAACCATACCAGGGATATCAAACAACAGCCATTCACTTTAAACGACAAGCTGAAATTAAATAAATCCAATAATGCATACAGATACGGTGGCATAACTCTTCGCTAAATTACCATATGAAGTAAGTTGGTTAGCAACAAATCTGTGATAAGTAAGAAATGTCCACAAGTTACTTAAAATGCTACAAACGCAACAAAATTACCGAAGATAAGCGCAATTAGTGTAAGCAACGTGGCCAGTTAATAGAACATTATTCAGGGAGGCAGAACAAACCAAATAAAGCGGGATGAAATTTAGCCAGCTTTAAAAGACCTAGTTTAAGTGTAAGTTGGTTCAGCCCAACTGCGGTGAAGAAGCATCAAGAATGCAACATCAGCCTCAGCATGGGGCACACATACATACATGGTTGGCGGCATCCGGTTTCGGATTTGCCTGTCACTGTGGCCAGACACAGGACGCCTGCGCCTACAGAGGGAGCT